AGTGCATATGGCTGAGAGTGTAACTGCCAATGGAGTCTATGTTCCCAACTGACACTTCTGGTGTCTGGCCTTTACTGTCTGCATTTTCCTCAGCATTCTAGTCTTCTAAGTTCCACCTAGAGTCTCCTATCAAACTTGGCTGTCAGCATTCTAGAGCCTCTTTAGCAAATATCCCCCAATCTTTCCAAACTCCTCCCAAAAACCAGTTCCAAAGCCTTCTCAACCACATGGTCAAGTACAGTCTCTACAGCCGCCCCACTTCTCTGGTACTGAAATCTGTCTTAGTCACTTTTCTCGTCACTGGGACAAAATACCCAACACCCACAACTTAAAGAGTACAGAGTTTCTCTTAGCTCATGTTTCTAGAGGCTTCAGTTCATGACTGGAAGGCTTGATCATAGAAATGGCAAGACAAAAGGGCCTGCCGTGGATGAAAGCAAAATCACATTACAGTGGCCAGGAAGCAGAGAGAGAACAAAGGAGTCAAGAAGGGATATATCTGTAGATACATATATAGATATAGATATATCCCATATATATTACACACACACACACACACACACACACACACACACAGTCAACTACGTGACCCCCAACACTCACTCAATCTCCTTCCAAAAGCCTGGCCTGTGACTGTAAGAGGTCTTTGGGGGGACACTCTTGATGTAAACCATAATGACCACCCTAATCTCCCCAATATATATGGTCACTCCTTAGAAGTCTTCTTGTTCTTAGATCAGCAAAATACCCTTGTTTCCCCCCATGTGCCTTCCACGTATGGGCTGCTACCCTTGTGATTGTTGATGTTTTGTTCCCACCTGCCTATATTTGGCTTTTGTGGGTATATATAGTCAAGTATTACTGAAGTTTTACCCATTCCTTCACATACTCTCTTCCCACTTTGCCAAACCATTAACATCTAGTTATTCTATGCATCCTTGGGGGGCATTTTGGAAATTTCTTAGAGAGTAGATTTTAAGTATTCTTACCGTGTAAGTTGATAACAAGAATATAAGGTAATCTAAATATCTGTTAGGTCAATATAACTATGTATTAATATAGTCATATTTGTCAACCACATACTATACATATACATAGTACATATACACACATTTGTATTCTAAATTTTAAAAATAAAAAATAATTTATTAAACTGTATAAAAATGTTAACATGCCCCAAAATCTTATTTGAGTTTGTCAGTTTTACTTTTCAAAAAATTAACTTCTAATTTCATTAGATTTTTCTCTATTGTTTCTCTTTTCTATTCCATTGAATTACATTGTTACATTTGTAATTTCCTTCTCTCAAGATTTGCTCTTCTTTTTTCTATTTTCATAAGATGGAAAGTCATCCAGCTTTTTCCTTAAGCACTTAACATCATAAATTTCCCTCTAAATTTTAGCTGCCTCCCACAAATTTTTAAAGTTTGTTTAAGTATATTCTTATTTCTTCTGAGGGTTTTTTTTCTATTGAGTATGGGTGTGTAAGTATATTATTTAATTTCCAAATGTTTGCAGATTTTTAAGGTATCTTCTGTTGTTATTTTTAACTTAATGTAGTCAATGAACATACTTTGTATTTTTTCAAACCTTTGAAATTCAGTGAGACTTGCTTAGATGTGGTTTATCATGGTAAATGTTCTATTTGAACTTGAATATGTGTTCTGTAATAATTGAGTGAAAGATTCTATAAATCAAATAGGGATGTTCATGGATAACATTCCATTTTTCTGTATCTACTGATTTTTATCTACTTAGTCAATAAGTATTAGCTATTCTCTATTGAGAGAAATGGTAAAACCTCCACATCTAATTTTGGGTTTCTCTATAATTTATATATATAGATATATAAATGTTTTGGCAGTACTGGGGATTTATGAGCTAGAGTCTCACTAACTTGGTAAGTTTCCTAGCCTGGGCTGAATCTGTGATCCTTCTATCTCAGCCTTGCAGGGTGCTAGGATTACAGGTGTGGGCACCACACCCAGCTACAATGTCTGTTTATATTTGGTAATGTAATGAATATATTCTAATATTATTGTTTCCCTTTACATGTAGTTATATGGTATTTTCTGCTTTAACATGTGTCTTATGAAGGTCTATTTTGTCTAATACTATATTAGTCAAAGGAAATTACTCCTTCATTATACCATAAAGATTATATGATACATTTTACATCATTTTAATTATAACATCTCAGTGCTTATAGTAAAAGTGTATCTCTAGAAAATACTGTCTTGAGTTTTTAATTATTGGGAAAATTTCTGCTTTTTAATTGAAGCATTTATCCACTATAGGTAAGAAAATTGTTGACATGCATATGGATTTAAATCTATCATTTTACTTCTTTTATTATTTGTCCTGCCTTTTTATTGTTTTTTCTCCTTTTCTGTCCTTTTATATTCAGCAAATATTATTTTTACTTAATTTTTATCTATTTTATTATTTTTATAATTTAATTTTTATTATTTAATTTTATTTCTTTATTGCCTTTTTAGATTTACATCTTTCTGAGTTTTGGCTTTTGATTTTTGGATTTAAAGTTTTGTGATTATATTATATTATGTATCTTTAAGCTATTAGTCTTTTTAGATTAATATCATAGCATCCTATGGAAAATTTAACAACAGTATACAGGAACTGCATAAACAGTATGAGAGTAAGAATAATATATAGGATATAATAGGATCCCATATATTCCCCCTTCAGCCTTTATGCTATTATTGCCCTATTTTTCATTTCTTCATTTTATTAGCCCAACGCATTGATATTCTTTGTTTTGTATAATTTATTTTAATAAAGCTAAGGGAAAAAGAAAATTATTTGTGACTTACCTACATTATTACCATTTCTGAAATTCTTTGTCCTGCCCAAGGATTCAGCTTTCATTTGGTAACTTTACTTTTAACTCAGCAGACTTTCTTTAAAATTTCTTGTACAAATTCTCTGATTTCATGTACCAGAAAGCATCAGGCTTTTTCATTAAGTTTATTGGTACATTTTAGGTACACAGTACAGTTAAGTTCATCACTGGGATCTTGTACCTTTACATGACGTACCTTGGTTCTTATTTTTTTCCCCATTCCCCTGCCCTCCCTTCGCCCCCTCCACCCTTGCCTATTTATAAAGACTTTGCTTCCATTTTTTCCTTTTCTCACATTTTTTTCTTTTCCCTTCTTTCTTTTCCTTTCCTACACTTCCTACTTCCCCTACTATTTTGTCTTCAACTTTGAAGCATAGTATTCCTTCATGTGGAATCTTAGACTGATGGAGATTTATTCAGGTAATTTAAAGGTATTTTTCAAATATTTCACTTTCATTGTGTTGAAATTATGAGTATATTTTCCAGTTGTTTTCTGTGTGGTTTGGTTTGGTACTGGTTTTGGTTTGGTGTGCTCTGTTTTGTGATACTGTGGTTTGAACCCAGGACTTCCCACATGGCAGACAAGGACTGTAGCACTAAGGCTCCCTGAGCTACATTTGCAGCAGCCCCTCCCTCTTGAGTGTCACTAAGGTGTCCAGACTGGACTAGATTTGTAATCCTCCACCTCCAGTGTAGTTGGAATCACGGGCATGTGCCACCAGGCCAGCTAAACACTGAGCAATAATGCTTACTGTTGTTCCACAAAATGTAGTATCTGTCACTGGACAATTCTGAGATTTCCTTTTTATATTTGGTTTTCAGCAACTTGACTCATGTGCCTAAGAGTGTGGAGCAGGTATTCTGCTTGCAACATGTTGAGCTGTTTTGTTGAGATCTTTGGCTGGATCTGTTGTCTGAGAGTTTAAATCGAATTTTGAAAAGTTTGGGCCAGCATAGAATTACTGGGTCAATTGTTTTGGTTCCCTGTGACCTGAAGATGTCAATCCATAGCTGTTTGGAAGCTCTTGAAACTGATCCATCGGATGCCAAATATCACAGAGCTCGAGGGTGACAAGGACTGAAAGAATATGACTACACACTGGCAGATCCTAAAATAGCTCAGGAGATAGCCCTGGAAGATAAAGCTATGCAGGCAGGATTGCTGAAAAATCAAAGAAAACATTAAGACACAGAAAAATAAGAGAAAGTGGGCCAGTACATGCAAAATTGTCTGCTTAATAAGAATTCAATGCCACTTGAATATTATGCATTGATTGCATAAGGCAAGAAGATGGTGTAAGAGTTACTATCTTGAGTGACTCCTAATGCTTTCCTTTGACACTTGTTTACAGTCTAGAAATACCAAGTTTCCCTCTCAACAAAAAGCAGTACCAAAAAAAGGGAGGCTGAGTGTTTTTTCACAAGGCAGATTTACATCCAGAGCTGCCTTTTCCACAGCCCCTCATCATTTCCAGGAATCCATAAAGATAAAGATGCCCTTGTTGCTACAATTGGACTAAGAAATTTGTAGAAGAGGAAGACACTGACATGTCCAAAGGGGGAAAACAATGGTGTTCTGCCCCAAACCTAAGCAGAAGCAAAGGAAGAATGAAAAAGCCCTGAGGACTTCTGGGCACTAGGCCCAGAGTCACGGGGCATTTGATCTTGAAAGCGAGTACTGAGGCCTTTCTTCCCCGTGCAGGGCCAGGAATCCGTTCCAGGCCGATTACTCCTCACAGAATGTCCTCAGACCTGCAGCATAACCGTAAGTATTACCGAAGATAATAAATTGATTCACCTGGCTACACAGCCCCTACCCGGCAGACATGTTTCTTGATCACTTGGGACATGCAGATCTCACTAGCCTCTCTGAACTTCCCAGGTACAGAGAGGCTCTTTTTATCTTTGTGTCTAAGTAGGTGTTCTGTGGAAGCAGCTAGACCCTGCTTCTTGGGTTTGTACTTGGGTTTGGGCAGAAGTTCTTCCTCAGTATCTGTAGAGTGTCAGAGACTGAAACGTCGTTCCAACCTGTATTCTAAGTCCTACACTAATATACAGCTAGAGGAACATATTTGATGAGTGAAAAGCTTGGAAAAAGCCTCATAAGCACCAGGATTTACATCCAGCTTTACCATACCTAGGTGAAAGGTTGTGCTCAGGCTTTCATTCCTCTGGGCTGAAGTCCTCCGGGAGTCAGGAAGCAGAATCAATACAGGGAGTCCATTTTACTTTCGCGCTCTAGCTTCTCTCCCATCAGCTCTGTAGAAAAGAATGAAACCATCCTGCAACCCCAGTGATCCACCAGCTTGAGGATAGGAGCACCCCACCTCCTAGAAATTTTAGGCTCCAGTATCTCACCACCAGACACAAGAAGTTACCAACTTGCATGACTCTAATTCTTTGCCATATGGATTCCAGCTAAGGGGCTGGGTCTAAGTGGAGTAGGGCCATGCAGATGTATCCCAGACCTTGCTCATGCCTCACATCTTCCAGGATTCTCAAGGAATGGACTGGGGTGGATACAAAGGTCTTGGGGGGGGGGGTACATGTTGTTCTGATTATGATCCTTTTAACTATATTTTATGGTTTTATAATGCCTCCTGCTTTGTACTTTTTGCTCAGGGTGACAGCTACTTAGGAATCTTTGTGGTTCCACATAAATTTGAGGTTGTTCTTTCTATTTCTGTGAAGAATGTCATTGGTATTTGATAAGGATTACACTGGACACTTAGCAGCAGCGTTGGTAAAGGCCATCCCTTGGCCACCAAGGCTGCTCCTAAGCAGTGTCACACCTGAGTCTCAAAGCTGCGCAGATCTGCATAGCCTGGGGGGCAAGGTGAGCCTCAGGCCTACTCTGGGGCTGGTAATGATGCAGGCTGAGACCTGAGTCTGTCTCCCCGGAGCACAAGTGTCTGCCTGACACTGACGCTGGTCTGCAGCCTCCACCTTGAGCTCTGGCCTGCATACAGGGCTCTCGGGTACTGTAGGGGCTGGGTCTCATCCTGGCAGGCCTGGCACTGGGCCCCAAGACAAAGCCCTGCCTTGGCATCCATGCCCTGCTCCCCACCTGGTACTGTAGGGATGGTGGCAGCAGGCAGCCAGTGCACTTCCGGCTCTCCAGACACAGGTACTGGCCCGGCGATAGGGACTAAAGGGCTCTCCCCGGGGATGGTTCCACTAGTGCTGGATCTCAAGACTAAGGTCCAGACTTAGTTCTCCTTCCTGCCCCTCCTTCCTGACTTCTTCAAGGCATCTTTTCTTTGTATTATACCAAAGCAGGCTCTGTGACCTCACCTGATTCTCAGAGCTCTTGACAAGGTAGTTTGGTGCCTGGAAGATCCTTCAGCTCAGTGCGCCTGTGGGGAGACAAAAGCTGGAGGATCTCACTCAGCTACTCCCTGCTCCACCTCCTCCGACTACAGGTCAGGAGCCCGATGACTCCCGTGGTTACTGTATATGCTGTATTGCCTGCGCTTGCAATGCATGATATTGCATTCATCTTGGGGAGTTGGTACATCAACACATCACATCCTGATCATCTTTACTTCCCCTCCGCACCCTTCCCCAAACATCGCTGTGGGTGTATAAATCAGTAAAGCCACTTGTAAGCAATGCAGCATTCCGACGAACCGAAGTTATGTGTGCTACATTACAGAAGTTTCACGGCAAGGCATCCCACAGAGCTCCAGCCTACACACAAGATGGTGAGTACAGCGGTGAGCACACAGCACTCTGCAGCCTCTGGAATAAAACCCCGACTACCTGCCTGCAGTAATAAACATCTGAGGCAGTCAGCGCACTGCAGTGACGATTTCAGATTTCTTGTTTTGTTTAGTTTTGTTTTGAGACAGAGTCTCACTATGTAGTTGAGACTGACCTGGAACTCACTATGAAGCCCAGGCTGGTCTCGAACTCACAGCAATCCTCCTGCCTCAGCCTCCCCAGTGCTGGGATTACAGGCGTGTGTCACCATGCCCGGCTGATTTCAAACTTGTTACATTAGCAAATGCCACACACTAAGGTCAGATAAATCCTAGAAACAGTCAAGAATAAAGGAAGCAAGCCACAAATAACACATTTACGCTGCCATTTTTGAGCAGGTCAGAAGTAAGAGGATGAAACTGCATTGTGTGGCAATGCCCATTTCCAAAGGAGAACCGTCAGGGGGCACAGCCAGCTGCTCTCCTGGGGCCCAGGGCGCCTTCTGCTGCTGGGAGAGTCCTGTGGTTTTGACCCCAGGGGCATTTGGGCAGTGTTTGCTCTGTGCGAAGTCACTAAGCCAAGGTGAGATTGCTTGCTATATTAAATTCCACCTTTCATCAAGGATTGATTTTAAAAGTTTAAAAGCAAAAGCCGTGGGGCAGTACATGTGCACGTGGAGGAGAACGGACAATGCTGTCCCTGCACTTGGGAGCTGCTCCCTCAGGAATGTTGGGGAAAGTGGAATCCAGGCTCCTCCTCCAACATGGCCTCCCATGCCCCTGTGCAGGGCACAGCTGGATGCTTCTTTTGGAGGCAAAGTAAGAAGAAAATGAGAGATCGAGGACACTGACAGTAAAGGGAGAAAGCATCCAGAGCAACGCCAAAGGGAAGAAAATGACAACTTGTCCCACAGCCTCAGGCAGCAGGCGGGAGCACTCAGCCCAGGGGAGAAACGCCTGCCTGGGCACAGGGTCAGCGGGTGTGAAAGAAAGGCCCCTCCTGGCTGCCTCTGGGCTCCAAACACACTTTGGATCGACTTTTCCAGAATTCTTCTAGCAGGGGGCTCAGATGCATTTGGTTCAGGCACCTCCTATTCCCCCAACCCAGCTGAACAACTTAAAATGCAGGAGAGCCAGGCGCAGTGGTCCACCTCTATGATCCTGGCTACTGCGGAAGCAGAAGCAGGAGGACAAGTTGGAAGACATCCTGGGTAACTGGGGACACCCGGTCTGAAAATAAAATAAAAAGGGCTGGGATGCAGTTCCCTGGTGGAATAACCTTGAGCTCAGTC